ATCTTTTCATTTAAATCAACAACGAATGGCAAAATTATAGAATGACTTGGGATGCAAATTGTTGTATGAACTAGTACAATAGACATACGTTCCATTTATATACTAATTATTCATATTTTAACTGTTCTTTTAGGTGCTTGAGGATGGCGTTCTTGATCCGGAGACTACAGTAGTTTCTATATTCCCATCTCCCATGCACTATGCAGGGCCGACTGAGGTTCAGTGGCATGCTAAGGCTCGGATTAATGCAGGTGCAAACTTCTACATAGTAGGCCGGGACCCTGCTGGCATGAGCCACCCATTTGAGAAAAGAGATCTTTATGATGCAGATCATGGTAAGAAGGTGCTGAGTATGGCTCCCGGATTAGAGCGGCTTAACATTCTTCCATTCAAGGTACAAAAATGATCCTATGATGTATTTATTATGGGTTCAGTCGGTCACAACAATCTGAAGTATTCTCTTCCTACAGAAATTGAATGAAAGAATTTACTGCCATGATGTAGAAAAATGAAATAATGAATATTAATTGGTTATTATGGATGAACTCCAGGTGGCTGCTTATGACAAGACTCAAGGTAAAATGGCATTCTTTGATCCATCAAGGCCTCAAGACTTTCTGTTCATATCTGGCACAAAGGTAATTCTATTATTAACAGATTTTCTCAGCCCTCCTACCCCGACCCAGCAATGGAAAAGAAAAAGTAAAAGAAATATTGATGTTTCGATGCAAGGACAATCCAAATATAAGATAAAATTTTTTCATGTTCATTTTGTTCGAGGATTTTGTTTTTCCTTTTTCTGAATGATTTCCTTTTTCCAGATGCGAACCCTTGCAAAGAAAGGGGAGAATCCTCCTGATGGATTCATGTGCCCAGGTGGCTGGAAAGTTTTGGTTGATTATTATGACAGTTTGGCTCCCTCTGGGGATGGCAGAGTACCTGAACCTGTCCCAGCTTAAATTTACTACATTATAATTGTGCTTGGGAGAAACATCAAACCTATTTATCTCCTATGTATCCTTGCATAAAACTTGGTCAAAACTCTCTCCAGCTCCCTCTGGGGATGGCAGAGTACCTGTACCTGTCCCAGCTTAAATTTACTAGATTATAATTGTGCTTGGGAGAAACATCAAACCTATTTATTTCCTATGTATCCTTGCATAAAACTTGGTCAAAACTCTCTCCAGCTGAATAAGATCATACGAGGCATAGGTACAGAATTGCAAGAATTGGCCTCAACCTGTAATATGGTGCTAAAACTGGCTTGTGAATTCGTGCACCCGTCTTGTGCACGCTGTATTGTATTGTGTTTAATCTCTGTGAAGAAAATGGATTGTTATGATTTTGTCTGTCATTGCCATCTTATTTTCAAGCTTAGAAGTTAATGAAAGGGTGAAAAAGCATAAAAAATGGTGCTTAGAATTCCATTTTTATGTTCCTAATCGTTTATTGATATTAATGACCTCTAACCATATTTTTAATAAATGGGGACTTTTTGAAGGATTAAATTAGTGTGAGAGAATGAAAACTACTTTTAAAAATTATTTATG